TATATGTTGTTTGTATATCTGGAAAAATAATTTCCCCCTGGCATTATTAAAGTATTTCTGATTCTGATTCTGAAATAATCTGAATACATTTATATAAGAAGATTGACATGATTACCTTTGTAGGACTGTTGCATCAGACTGCAGTGAGGTGTACCTGATAAAGTGGCGAGTATAGGGCTTTTATTATTAATTAATCGGACGATTTGTTTGGGGGGGATTAATTGATGACTTGTACAGTCCTTAAAATATCAGAAAATGGTGAGAAATGTCTTGTTTTGTTCGACCAACAGTCAATTAATTTATTGAGTAGTTGTCTAATATATACATATTGAATAGCATATTGACACATTGCCCAACCCTTCGCCTCCTCCCTATGAGGCCTCAGCGTATCCTCCGATCAGGACTATTGACACGAGACACTCAGCAGGATGACAGACTGTCAGTTAGTGAACATAAAAGCTTCCTCTCAGTCCTGCGAGGTTGCTCCCGGTGACCCGGAGTCAGCTGTGTTGCTTTGATGTGTGCACCCCTTCAGGCCTGATGTTTCCTCAGTGGTGAACGCTGAAGGAAACCCGTGTGTATCTGCTGGTGCACCGTGATGTTTTGTAACGCAGGGATGGCCACATTTAAATACCAGGAGGTCATAAAGCAGTATGTGAGAAATGTTCACTCTCATTAGCTGGGCCAAAGGCACCCAAAGTGTGACCAGCCATTTGCCGGGGACCTGAAGTGCAGTGTGCCTCCGGCATTTCTGTCTCTAATCAGCTTGTTTCAGATGTTATACTGCATTTCTAAAACACTACACACACACACACACCACTATATGTCAGCTCTCCACATGACTCCTCTGCCTCCTGATGAGATGCTGCCTTTTGGCCTCAGGCTCTTCCTGACTGTTGGGTCACAACCTGTCAGTTCGTCTCCTGCTCCACATGCATTCTTTAATCAGGTCCGTCCTTCTCGCAGTGCCGCTGGACGTGATAAAGAACTATTTGAGGAACGCACTTTCCCCCCCCTAACCGCAATAATAAACTGGAGCTATTTCATGGCAGCATTGAGAGTCTGCAGCTCTCTGGGCTGCTCTGGATTCCTTCTGCTGTGTCATTAATACAGACAAGGATTTATTCTCCAGGAGTGGCAGCGCAGACAGGAAATTGAGGATGTGAGC